AGTAATATTCCATGGTGTATATGTACCACAGCTTCCTTATCCATTCGTCTGCGGATGGGCATCTAGGTTGCTTCCATGTCCTGGCTATTATAAACAGTGCTGCGATGAACATTGGGGTGCACGTGTCTCTTTCAGATCTGGTTTCCTCGGTGTGTATGCCCAGAAGTGGGATTGCTGGGTCATATGGCAGTTCTATTTCCAGCTTTTTAAGAAATCTCCACACTGTTTTCCATAGTGGCTGTACTAATTTGCATTCCCACCAACAGTGTAAGAGGGTTCCCTTTTCTCCACACCCTCTCCAGCTTGTAGACTTTTGGAGAGCAGCCATCCTGACTGGCGTGTAATGGTACCTCATTGTGGTTTTGATTTGCATTTCTCTGATAATGAGTGGTGTTGAGCATCTTTTCATGTGTTTTTGTGCCATCTGTATGTCTTCCTTGGAGAAATGTCTGTTCAGTTCTTTGGCCCATTTTTTGATTGGGTCATTTATTTTTCTGGAGTTGAGCTGGAGGAGTTGCTTGTATATTTTTGAGATTAATCCTTTGTCTGTTGCTTCGTTTGCTATTATTTTCTCCCAATCTGAGGGCTGTCTTTTCACCTTGCTTATAGTTTCCTAAGAGAGAATCTGTTTCCGTACCTTTTCCAGCTTCTAGAGGCCATCTGCATTCTTCAGCTCATGGTCTCTTCCTCCAGCTTAAACTCAGCAGAGTAGCCGCTTCCACACTGCTGTCTCTGTCTCCGTGTGTGTCTCTCTCTGACTCTGTCTCCTTCTTATAAGAACTCTTGTGATTACATTGGGCCCACTTAGATGATCAGTGTTAATCTTCTCATCTCGAGATCCTTAACATAGTCATGCATGCAGAGTCCCTTTGGTCATACTCATAGGTTTCAGGGATGAGAATGTGGACATTTTGGGGGAACCTCGGTTATGCCTATCACAACACCCAGCTCTCCCAACATCTTCCAATGCTAGATGCCAGACACTGAAAATCACTGCCATCTTGAATTTTAGAGCTCAGAGTGTTTTTTTTTAAGCCCACACACTTTGAAAATTTTAGTTGCCAAAATTTGACTCAGTAGTTTTCAATGAAAATCTACATTTCTAACTTCTCTTCAAAAAGGTGGAACAGTGATTTCTGCAGAGCAAGGACAGATCCTAGTGGCTGCCCCTTCAGCACGAGTCGTGGACTGTTCGGTCACTATAGTATTCACAGTTTTCTGTTATGTTCTCAACATGGAGGCCACATGTGGGCCGTTCATCACCTTACCCCTGGTCCCTGGGGCATCTGACTTTCCATCTCAGTCTTCTGTCCTCTTCACTTTCTTCTTTCCTACTCATATCCATCAGGTGGAGTTTGAAAGAATAAGCAAGTTTAGCACACATGCCTGAAGGTGAATTTTCAGCTTTAAAAATCCAGATATTGCCAAAATATTTAAGCCCTACTCTGTCTAATTTGGGCATAGGTAGGCAAATAAGAAAGAAGGCAAAAACTCCACATGTAGTGATGGCCAGGGTGTGACTGTAATTTAGTTTGAAAGTCTTTTGAAAATCAACCTCCTCTGTGTCCAGTGGAATGAAATGGAGCTTGTTAAAATAAGCCTTTTTCAAGTTACTGAATGTCTGGCAGGAAGACACCCTGTTCTGAAAACTCAAGCCTCCTCATGGCTTTGGAAGAGGAATGCTGCAGGCCTTGCTAAAGCAACAGATGCCCTTTTTTCTTTAAGAGGATAGGGAAGGAAGTGTGTTTGCTCTTTGTTGTTGCTACACAACAATGTGTTTGCCATTACCATTCTAGATTTAGTAGCCTTTAACTCACGCTGTTTTGGACATGCAGCTAATGTACAAGCAAGTATCCCTCACGTCGATCCCACCTCTTCATCAGAAATGCTGGTGCCATGCTCAATTATGTGGCCCGTGACAAGCCAGAGGCATGGCAATTCAGGGTAATATACTGCTGCCGTTCCACAGTGTGGCCCGTACAGTCATTTCTAATGAAAAGCCCTGCTCTGTGTCAAATTAATGTGCCATGGAGTTACGTTTTGGCTCAAAAGCAAAGCCAGATAACTAATCTCTGCCTCCCACTTATTAGCAGAAGGCTGAGCTCGTTATGGCCCTTGTAAACTGGCAATATGCTCTGCAATGCTGCTTTGCTGAGCCTTGATCAGGAATAAGAGGCATCTTCCTGCCCTGGTAGGTTTGTTATTATTTTTTTTTTTCCTTTTTGTCCATCAAGTTCAACGCAGAGACCAAAAAAAAAAAATCATATGTTGACCACCCCAAATTAGGTACCAAAATCAAAATTAGCACTTATATAACATGTGCTTTATGTCTAGAACCTGTTTAGTCTTTTCTATACTTATCTCTTACATAATAGATCATGATAGAGGGAGTCTATGATATGTAAGAATGTATGGTCCCACAATAGGCTTCCCTGGTGGCTCAGATGGCAGAGAACATGTCTGCAATGTGGGAGACCGGGGTTCCATCTCTGGGTCAGAAAAATCCCCTGGAGGAGGGCATGGCAACCCACTCCAGTGTTCTGGCCTAGAGAATCCCATGGAGAGGGGAGTCTAGTGGCTGCAGCCCATGGGGTCCCAAAGAGTCAGACAGGACCGAGTGACTAACACACATACTTGTGGAGTCGGGACACAAGCTTATGGCACTCAGTAGAATTTTTTTTTGTTTTCTTTTGTGCTGTAAACCCTCCTTGCTCTTTATTCCGGAAGCTTCACCTGCTTTCCTTTCCTTCTCCCTCCAGGCCATGGTGGTGGACATGTAATACAGGTCAGTCCTGTAATAGTACTGCATTCTTACTGTCATAGTGAAGGAACCAGCAGTGGGCACACGACCCAAGCAGAGGCAACCAAAGCCCTTCTAGGAATAGACGTGCTTAGAATGATTTACAGGGAGTTAAGGCCCTCTTCCCTTTTCCTGGCGTGCAGTTGATAACATGTACATCTGGGAACACAAGTGAGACAAGCAAAGTGCTTAGGTCACAGAACCTAAGAAAGTAGTCACGCTTAGGGTCATGCAGGTCGGTGCAGAGTTGGTGCTTAAGAGTAATGCCTCCGTACCCGTATGCCCTGAGCCCCGGCCTCAGGAGACTCAGCCTGAGAAGGTGTGAACCTGCAGTGCCAGCAGCCCTTCCTTCAGCAGTGGAGCTTCGGCTTCAGCATCAGTCCTTTGAATGAATGTTCACGGTTGATTTCCTTTGGGATGGACTGGTTTGATTGGCTTACTGTCCAAGGGACTCTCAAGAGTCTTCTTCAGCACCACAGTTCAAAAGCATCGGTTCTTCAGAGCTCAGCGTTCCTTATGGTCCAACTCTAACATCTGTACATGACTGCTGGAAAAATCATAGTTTTGACTCTATGGACCATTGTCAGTAAGTGTTATCTCTACTTTGTGATATGCTGTCTAGCTTTGTCATAGCTTTTCTTCCAAGGAGCGAGTGTCTTTTAATTTCATGGCTGCAGTCACCATCAGCAGTGATTTTGGAGCCCAAGAAAAGTCTGCCGCTGTTCCCACTTTTTCCCCATCTCCATGGAGACACCCATTTCATATGAAGAGAAGGGAGTCAGTAAGCTGAGTGGGCCTCCCCTCACACTTGCAGGGCCCAAGACAAGAGGACAAATGCAGATCACAGAGCAAGTGTCAAAGGTTAAAACTGCATTTTTTTAAAGGTTTTTTTTTTATGTGGATCATTTTTAAGGTTTATCTATTTGCTCCATTGGGTCTTGGTGGTGGCACGCAGGGTCTTCTTTGCATCAGGCTGGATCTTTTTAGTGCACGTATGGCCTCTCTGCTTGTGACACACGGGCTCTGAAGCACACAGGCTTCGTCACTCCACAGCGTGTGGGATCTTAGTTCTCCAGTCAGGGATCAAACCAGCGTGACCTGCATTGCAAGATAATTCTTTATCCCTGGGCCACTGGAGAAGCCCCTGAAGCTTTATTAATTAAGCTCTGCCGATAGCCTAGCTGGCATTTGTACGCAGGAACCACCAGTCACCTCCATGTCTCCCCTTCGTGACCCCAAGGTCAAAGGGGCTGAACCCTCTCCTGACCTTCCAGCCTTGCTGCGTGGGAGCCGACTCCTGTGAGCTGTCTCCCACGGGTGACTCGCTGGGGCTCAGTCACTGAGAGGCCAGGATGAGGGCCAGCAGGGAGGATGTCCTGCCTTCTTACCCACTCTCCTGACTTACAGCTTCCAGACTGTTCTAGAATAGCAGCCCTGGATCGCAGACAGGAGAGAAGGGCACAGGTGTCTGCAGATACTAGTCTTCCAAAAACCCACTTCAGATTTTAGGATTTACATCAAAGCTTCCCATCTGTCTTGTTCCAAGACAGGAACTCCAATTTTCTTCTCCTGATTTCCTGTTCACAAGACTTGCCAAACTTTAAGAAGTTGCTTTTATAGAGTTGAAAGGAAAAAACAAAACAAATATTTCACAGGCAGGGTCCTGAAGGTGCTACAGTCTGTACAGAAAAGGGGCCTGAGGCTCAGAGACACTAAGATGCGTGGTCTCAAAGTGTGTGGTCTCCAGCACACAGGGCCTCCTTAGGTGGAGCATCTTTAAGATGCTGCTAAAAAGAGGACCCCCTGATGTGGGAGGTTCTGAATATAAAGAGTCACTTCTCTGAGAAAGTGTTATAGGGGAACCTCAGGGAAACCCCCTTTAAGGAGCCAAAGCATTTATATCTCTCTCTCTATGTATTTTTTTTTGTGGGAAATAAACCTGATTTTTATTTGTTATTAAAGATCTTTGTGGCCTTTCTCTGAAAAGAGTTTCAGAAATATGAAAAAAACAAAAAAGACAATGCTATCTACAAATTATCATATCTCCTCATTGCTAAGGTACTATGATAGGTTACCTTTATATTAATGTATTAAAGATTACATAGGAAAAATTCTGTCAGCGTCCTCAATGAGTTAAGAGAGCTATGATTAGATTTTACCACTGACCCATAATTTCTTCCCAGATGAAACATGAAAAGGCTCAGAACTTCTGTTTCTCGTTGGGATGGTTGACTTCATGCGTAAGTGTGGCTGGCCTGAAGATGCCAGAGGGCTGGTGAGGCACTGCTTCTGGAGCAGCTGTGACGGTGTCTCTGGAGGAGAGTAAAGCATGCATCTGGGTGCTGGTCTCACCAACGCAGGCGGCCGTCATCCTCATCTCTTGAGGTCCTGCAGAGAACAAAAGCGGGAGGAAGGGTGAATCTACTCTGCCTGAGGGGGCTCCTCCGGCTTCTGCCCTTGGACGTCAGCACTCTTCAGCCTTAGACTGCTGGCTCCCCCAGCTCTCAGGCCTTCAGACTTGGGCTTGAGTCAGAGCACCTGCATTCCTCGACCTCAGCTTGCAAACAGCAGAGGCTCTCAGCTTCCATTGTCACGTGTGCCGGTCCTTCATGATAAATATCTGTCTATCTTTGAATCTATCTAGTCTTCGGAGGTGGCACTAGTGGTAAAGATCCACCTGCCAATGCAAGAGACTTAGATGCGAGTTCCGTTCCTGGGTCAGGAAGATCCCCTGGAGAAGGGAGTAGCAACCCCCTCCAGTCTTCTTGCCCGGAAAATCCCACAGACAGAGGAGCCTAGCGGGCTGCAGCCCATGGGGTCTAGAGTGGGACACGGCTGGGTGACTGAGCGCACACGTCTGTTTATTCATCTGTCTGTCTCGGAACGGCCCTGGCGCACACACCCGTCAGGACGATGATTTGCTGTGTGCGGACTGGAGTTTGGCTGCCCTTGACTGGTGTGTTTTTCACCCTCCACTTACTCAGTCTTTCCTGTCGGTGCACTCGTCATCCACTCTAGCGTCTGAGCAAACTGGGCGAGCTCTGCCGTCCAGAACCCTAGAGACAGTGGGAGGATTCCACCTTCAAACCGAGAGCAGGTGAAACTTGAAGGATGCACAGGAGCTAGCCAGGTGAAGGTCAGCAGACGTCAGTGGAGGAGGGAGTCCGCGCCAGACAAGGGAAATATCAAAGAGGGCTGGAGGCCAGGAGGGGTTTAGCAACTTCAAGGTGCGGAAAAGTGTCTTCAAAGGGAAGCGTAAGAGGTGGGGCGGGGGGGGGGGGGGCGGAGGAGGAAGCATTGGCTAGGAGAGGAAGAGATTTGCTGAGGCTGGAGAAGAGGGCGCAGTTCTGCCAAGTAGGAACTGCGCACCTCACCTGCGGAAGACCTTGCATATTACATCAAACGTGTCAGGAAATCACTGAGGGTTTTAAAGATGTGTCTAATACGACCTGGTGTAAGCGTTTTAAAACTCATTTTGTGAGTGAAGAAGCAAAGTGGATCCAGCCGAGATCTAGGTTGGATTAAGGTGATGACAATGGGTGCATTAGAAATGGAATGACCTGCCTACCATGCACATGTAACGTATTATGCATGTAGTATGAATAACATGTTACATAACATAAATGTATGTTCACATGGAATGAACTTCTATCTCTTGTGTCTGAGTCCTGGGCATATTTCTTACAGTCATTTTCTCTCCCCACCTCTTTCTTTCTAAGCTGTTCAGCCCAACTTTACCCGTGTCATGAAATAGGCCAGCTATGGTAGGAGGGCTGTTTTATCTTCATGTCAGATTAGAAGCACCAAAAGTTCCCTGGGTCACAGAACTGGCTTCATAGACTGTTGGAGTTTTAAAAATAACCCTGTAGACCAACTTGTGCATGAAATGAGCTCAAAGAACAAAGAACACAGAGCTTTGGTAAATGTGAACACCCCTCAACCTCTCTGCCATCCATGCAGTTTTAGAATGTCATACTCAAGACAGATCAAGAACAAAAGTTGTTTCTATGCAAGCTAAGGAAGTGTGCGATAGGACAGTTACCTTCCCAAACCTATCTGCAGCTTTGCCTGAATTACCTGTATAGTTTAGGCAAAAATAGAATTATCCAGATTAGAATTAGAATATTGTGACTTTTACTTGCACATAGAAGTAGCCGTTCAGAAGTCTTTGACATCTCTTTTCTGTTTCCATCATTTTCCTCCTCTTAGAGAAAGTACTGGGAGAAATCACAAGAAACTCAAAATTACCTTATTCCAATATTTATCAATCAAACACTTTGTCATGGATAGTGTTAACCAAAGCTCTAGCAGGATATATCATGGGATTTGGAAGTCTTATCCTAAAGCAAACTTCATCTCAAAATATGAGCTTGTGCATGCTTTGATAAAATACTTCCTCCCTTACTGGAGAAGAATCCGAAGGTAAATGTAAACAGAGATAAAAATGAAGAATCATTTAAAGCAGAAAAATGCCAAATGACCAGCTTCTGTGTTCTGTGTTGGGAGTATTGAGTTTCCTGGTGTTCAAGAAAATGACTGTGCTCACCATAGTAGCACTGCCTGAATCCACCGAATGCCTTCTAATCGACAGGACTTTGTGCTTTATCAGTGTTCTAGTATGCATCTGCCCAGGGGGTCTTTCATTCTCACAGTAATTTTGTTTTGGGATGGTTAATTCTTAGGCCTGCAGAGTGGGGGGAAGGGTGTCCTGTGCCCTGAAAAGTGACTGGCAGCATCTCTGGTCTCTGCCCATCAGATACCCACAGCACTCACCCCCATCATGAAACGCATCTTTAGGCATTGCCAAGTGGCCCCTGGGGGAAAAATTGCTCCTGGTTGTGAAACATGGTTGTAGAGGATGCTGGAAGATGTTTTGACAACCAAATCTGAATTTCTTTGTGAGGAATTACCTCTGTTCATCAAGATAAATTCGTGTGCCTATTCTCCCATCATAAAAACTGGCCTTATGCCTGTGTGCTCACTCAGTCATGTCCACCTCTGTGTGACCCCATGGACTGTAGCCCACCAGGCTCCTCTGTCCATGGGATTCTCCAGGCAAGGATCCTGGAGTGGGCTGCCATGCCCTCCTCCAGGGGATCTTCTGAATCTAGGGATCGAACCTGCGTCTCTTATCTCTCCTACATTGGCAGGCAGATCCTTTACCACTAGCACTATCTGGGAAGCACCAGAACTTTGTGGCTCCTAGCAAACTGTTCATTTGGCTCTCGGTTCTGTGTATGGATTGGACAGTTTTTATCTGAGCTGACTTGGTTTATTTCTGCTAGGCTCAGTACTGCACCTGTGATCAGCTGGTGGCCTGACTAGGTCTCAGTGGCCTAGGATGTCCTCACTCACTTATTCGGTTGATGGCAAACTGTCGAAGGGACAGACATGCTGTGTATTCTCATCTACAGGCTGAAACTGGATCTCTTCCTATGATAGGCATAGGCATTCAAAATAATAAAAGGGTAAGCCTCAAAGAACAAGGGCTTTCTAGGCATCTATCTGTGCCATATTGTGAATATTTCATTGACCAAAGGAAATCATACAGCCTATCCAGGTTCAAGGGCTTGAGAAATAGACTCTGTTTCTTGATGGGAGGAATTATAGCATCACATTCCAAGGGATGCAAAAGGGAAGAATTAGTAGCCTCTTACACATTCTATCACAATTTTATTTAAAAAAAAATCATTCAGAGCTTGGAATTAGTTTTGAAGATCAGTTGGTTTAACATGCGTTACTCTGTTATCACCAAACTTCTACTCAACAGGGTTTTAAGTGAATGTGGCAGCCATATTTTGTCTACTTTCTTTTACTACTTTGCCTTACATGTTGTGAATTTGCTCACACACGTTATGTGGTCTGGCATAAGCTTGGCTATTAAATTAAAGGAGAGTGTGGTACTGCCACAATCCTGATCAGGCCTACTATGTGGAGAATACCTTTTATATCAGTGATTTATCTTGACAACTAAGCCTGATTCAAAATTCCCGCAATGCAAGATGAGCTTTGATTTTGTGTGATTCTGAATAAATATTTTAATACTTTAGAGAGATTAGAATTATTTCCAATTTTCCATAAGGTCAGAGTTTTTAATATAATTGCATAATATCAGTTTCTTCTAAAATGCAGCCATGATGTATAATCACAGATAAAGCAAAAATAGTTTTATTCCCAGTGCTACATAAAAATGAATTAATCTGACAATATGAGTTTAGCACATTTGAGGATTGCAGTGTGTTATTGCTTGGTATATAATACTTGATGGGGCAGAACAATTTATTATAGCTTTAAAATAATTTAATAATATTTTAATGCAATTCAAATAAAACTTTTGCAGAGTCCTTGAAATACCTCTGCTAAAAGGAACATAGTTTTAAACCCCCTGTTCCATATTTTGTCTCTGCCACAAGATGACAGATGTCTTGAGAAGAGAACCCCTTAGTATTGTGTCCTAAACTAGAGAGTAAAGATCCTCAATGTTTCCCTTAACTAATGTTTAATCAAATAACAAAACATTAACAACTTGGTTAGTGGTGAGATAAGTTTTGTCCTTGATTTTTCTTTTTATGGTAAATTCTGTAAGTTAGGCACCATAAAAAACATCACCTATTAATTTATTCAGTAAACATTATTGAGTCCATAGTGTGAACTCAGATGCTGTGAAAAGTCTAACAGATACCAATAGGAATAATGAATAGTCTTTGTAAATATATAGCTCACATTATAGAAGTGGTAATAAATATAATAAAATCACTATTAACATATGTATCATTGTTGAGACACTGAAAATAGATCAGTGAGACTTAGGTAATCAAGTGTCTCCTAGGTGCTAGAATACAAGTCCCATGAGTGTAAATTTGTTCTCTACTCCACCTCCAGAGACCCAGAATAGTCCTTGGCACAAAGTCGGCCGAGGGACAATAGAGTCTGAATGAAGGATGCCAGGTCCTGAAGATATAAGTTCTTACTATAGAGCAGCTTGATGGGCAAGAGGAATGTCCATACGCCACCTTAGCAAAGAGTGATGACAGTTTAGAGAATGTTGCCCACTAGGAACCAGACTAGAAAAGTTGAAAGCTGTGATGTCATTATCCACTGGTCATTGCTAAAACCAGTGCTCAAATCCTAGCCTTCCAAGTCATTTTAAATAAGAATACAAAGTACAATAAATAGGGCAACTTAGTCAGAAGGATTATAGATCAAGGAATGGGGACATAGGGAATCCCCATTTAATGTGATCAATTTATGAAAACTACATCTCCCCTAAAATAAAATAAAATAAAATTCAGTGTTACTCAACAGGGATTTCTCACCAACCACAATTTATTTGTAGTTATTATTGGATTAGTCTACAGATACACATGAAGACTGTATTTAAATGTGAT